TTTTTTTGTTTTATAATATTGACTAATTTCTAAACGAGTTAACTTCCACTTATTAATAACTAAATCACAAGGATAAGGGTTTCGTTTGCTGTGTTTATCATTCATCCTATATTTATTATTTTAGACTAATATTAATATTGGAAAATTATATTGATTGATTGTTTATTTATAGCGTGCTAGCAAAAGGGCTAAAAATGTCTTAATAATGCGAGTATTCCTTTATCACATTTTTATCCCTAACGAACGAATTGGAGAATTAATTAGAAATAATTCCAATAACGAAAACTGACCGAGAGCCAATAAATATATCCAAATCTTAAAGGCTTGAAATAAAGAAATCGAAAAACAGCAAACCATCGTCAAAAGATACGGGGAATATTTAAAAAGCAAGAAAAAAGGTGATAATAATTTTCTGATCTCGGTTAAAAATGCGATTAATGCCAAAATAAGAATACTAACTGACTCAGACTTTACCGAATTGCCGGACGAATTAAAAGCAAAAGAATTAGAAAGTTTAAGATTTGGTTATAAGATTTATGAAGACTACAAATATTTTACGGGAAAATGAGCCAATACCGAAAGAATAGAAGGAGTGGACTTGCTAGAAACTTACGACAAATTAAAAGAATGAAACGAAAAAAGGCCTTATCCGATTCAAGAAGTTAGCGATTTATTAGATGCTTGGGCTGATGACCGAAAAAAAACTGATAGCGAGTTTGGGGAAATAGAACAAATAAGAAGTTTAGAAGTTCAAATGTTAGAACGCACCAAGAACACGATAACTTTTGTCTGGGATTTGCCAAAAATAGAAACGCAAGTTGGCAGTGTGCGAGTTTTTCCTAACATCAATAATTACCTATTTTTATTCAATGGCCAATATTACGAAGTAGTCGACTGACAACAAACTAATTATAATACGGCTGAAATTACGGCTGAATTATCAATTTTTTATAACTATTATTGGTATGTTATAAAAAGTAGTGCCAATGGTATTTTACACCATAGCCCGTTAGCCCGAAGTGAAATCTGTTCTTGTCCGGAATATGACCGAGCCACTAATTATTATGATTATGCTAGTGATTATCGGTTGAAATTGTGAATCTATAAGACGGCCATTTCGGGAGCCGGTCAGAATATTATTTTTGGCTCGGGAGAAAGAGAAGGAACTTTGCCAATGATACACGGGATCGGAATTGAACGGGTGCCAAATGTTAGACAAGAAGTCCAAGATGTTCTAACGAAAAAGTTTTGGAATGATTGCTGAAATGCCCTGTCGGGGATTTCGGTGGCTGGCTTTTCCCTAGGACAAGGACAGAATGAATTAGGAGTTTTATATTACTTACTAAATGATAAATTGGGGAATGAAAATGAGTTTCATAATGTTGAAAATTATAAGTGAAAAGAAGCCGGTCGGGGTGGCAAGCCAGATTTTAGTAAGGGAATAGAACAAATGCTCCATAAATGGGGCTTAACTAACGAACGGGGCGAACCAGTGCCTTTTATGCGTCATTTTTTACAATGGCACGTCAAAGCAACTTTGTATTGACGTAAGAAAGAAATTTGAGAAGGGAGATATTGGTTGCTCCATGACAAGGGCTATCAAGTGGACGAAATTTGTAATGCTGCTGGAAATACTATCACTGTTTTTGCGTCTAATATCGTGCTAGCCCGTATGACCGAGAATATAACGGCTAAATTAGGTTTAAGTTCCGGTGGCGTCAATTTATTAAATGTGGCCGTGGATGTTTCTTTACATGATGACAAAGGGCAAAATTTACGGCAAGCCGAAAGGACTGTGGTTAGTGATACCAAAAAATCTAGTGGAGAGACAACCCACACCGAAAGCAAAACCATTACTCGTTCTCCTGTTTCTCTGGGAAAGAATAACAAACCCCAAATTGGTATCCCTTCACCCCAACCTTTACTTTTTGGCAGCGACCACACCAAAAGCGAATATACTTTTTTACAGTTCGAAAGTCGTTGGTTATTAAGTGGCTATTATCCGTTATCATTAAGAATCCAGTTTAACCCAAGTTAGCAAGAAGTCCCCCATCCTCTTTTAGGTGG